AGCATTCCTCCGATCAAACGCCTGAACGACGTCATCCTGCACAACTTTACGATTGCCCCAATAAAAGATAACAAGCCTGCGAGATAGCAATGCGTGAATGAAGAAATATATACGTATGCTCAGACGAGAGACGAGGCAAGAACGAGTGAATGCGAGGAAGAATAGGAGAGAATGTAAAAGCGTGGAAGATTACGTTGTGTGTGAATCTACTTCCGATTACAAAGAATTGACCAAAAACGTCGGCATTAAGATGTAACGCGACACGCTTGTTGCGACGATCGTGACTGTCAAACGGGAGGCATCAATCGAGCAAACGGGAATCATATATAAAATTTAAAACGAAAAAAAAGGCGGGAAAAATAAGAAGAAACAAAATATCACGATGAAACACGACTGTAACCATAACCAATTATCAATTACGCTCATAACGAGTATACATTGCGTGCATCATCGACTACGTACTTGAGCATAAATTATGTCTACCCACGCGAGTACGCGTGAATTTTTGTCCATTTCTACACGTATATCCGTTTCCTCCTCGACGATAGAAGTTATTTTTAAATTTTCGAAACTTAGCTGCGCCGCTCCCACGTGCGAGTGTCTGTACGATCGGATGTCAGTAGGAATTCAGAAATATAAATAGACGATTGAAGTTGGCAAGATGTTTTCTTTGCAAACACCCCCTTTGTCCATATTCGGAATGAATTCTGTTCCTTCTTTTACCTTCCTTGTGCACCGTTGCATCGACGTGCATTCAGCTCGTAAAAAACAACAGCTACATAGAAACGTCGTGACATGCGATACGTGTAAATTAACTGTTTTAAATGCTGAACTACTTTTCCTTGGTAACAAATATTATTCAGATTAATTAATCGCCACCTTTCTCTTTAGTTTCACGTATTGTGTTCCAAAGGAAACGTATACAGGACGTGCCATCAATTATGTTTAATCTTAACGATGTTCGACATTTTAAACACGCATACATTGTATTTCATAATAGAAGTAATGGAATGAACGTAATCAAATCTTAGGAACAACCAATATTTCAATTCTATATTATTCTAAATTCAGGATTCGTTATTTTACAAAATGACAGAATAGGAAATTTGATATTTTATTTGAAAACAGATTTCCTTTGTTTCTACCAATAGAAATATTATCGATACTTTATTATCCCTTTTCTCAACTCTGTACACTTCATACTTTAGACAGAGAGATTTTGCGAAATACTCTGTATATTAGTTTCTTCGTTACATAACATATTTAATTATTACTTCAGTCTCAAGCTATTATGTCACAACCGTTTTGGGTATTAAGTATGTATATCGATAAATATTGTATTAAATCTGTGACTCATCGGATATCAAGCATCGTCGATATATAACTTAGTACCTCATTGAAAAGGTATTTAAAACAGTGAATAAACATTGCACCATTTGGCGAAACTCTGCTATGCAAATTTGTAGACTTTCATTTGTTATATGGATAAATCTGAAAAAAATTAAAACGAATTAAAAATACACAAGTTACCCAATACTAGCGAATATTTAGTCATAGTACAATTTACATAAGTCGAAATTTAAGTAATTATTTCAATAAGTTATAATTGAAAAAATTCCATTACTTCTTTTAACGTATTATTTATGTAAATAATGAATAATCAATCAAAAAGAAATATCGTAAATATTAAATAATTAAAATTAAACAAATCTTCCAAAATTAAAATATTATTAAAAAATGATGTCGTAAATAATTTTTTATTCGTGTGTACTATTTATGTAAAATTCTCGTAATATTTTTACTTGGAATTATGATGTGTTTCATTTCAAACGAATTAATTTTATTTCGTTGATACGTTTCGAGTAACATTGATCATGGAAACGATCAAATCTCTGTTCGTGGAATAATGGACCTAGGAAATAGGAGTCTCCCCTCTCGCGTCGCACATAGCAACACCGAATACTAGGAGTCAATAAAAACTGATCCTTTTCTTTGTTACAGTTCGATCAATACGAACTTTGGAGAGTTATTTCGAAACGGCATTCGCGTTTCAGCACTGCATCAATCTTGAAATAAATTTTACGAATTTTTAATAATTAATTTATATTTACTGGGAATAAATAGCATAATATCAAATTTGTCATAAAAACATTTTCACTAAGATAAATATCTGTAATTTTACTCTTTACAATTTCTTAATTTCAGATTATTCTCTTTCTTTATGTTCTAATAATTGCATTATAGTTGATATTATACTGAACTTGACATAACTTACGGCGTGACCTTGGTATGGTCGCAATCTTCAGAATATTCGATGATTTGGGTAATTCATAACCATTTACCTAATATACAAAGAATCAAGGAATTCAGACGATTTTAAAATTCTCTATGAGCCAGAAATAATAAACTGTTAGAACTGAAAAAAATTTCATAAATTCTTGAGGACAAGTAGGCAACATATATACAAACTTGTTTATTTCAACGTGAAAGACAAAAACAGCTGGCACTAAATGATGTTTTTACTAAATTGTCTCCTTTAGTGTTCAAATCACTTCAAAGTCACGTGAAGAAGTTTCTTTTCAATGCCTAAAAAGAAATATTGGAAAACATATAATGGTTAAGATAAAAACAGAATTAAATGTGTATGTGTAGTTTCATGAATACAGAATATAATAAAATGCGAAATTAATGTCTTTGAAGCAATCATTGATTAGTGATTCTATATGACTTACAGTGTTAATGCAATTATACACATAACTAAAATTGATTTTCGGTATTTTAAACGGAGGCTATAAATATCATAAAAAGTTATAGGTATACAAAGGCCATGAACATCAAAGCCCTGCGAATATCATTTGCAAGCGATCAATAAATATTTTTGAATTCTTCGATAGATTTTAAATATTTCATGAACAATGTTAATATCACATGACGTTTAATATTTACGTACCAAACGAATGATGTATGATTCGTCCGTTATTTTCAATAAATCATTCATCGGTTTACGGAGAACACAATTACATAACCTTCTCGTAATAAATTCATAATTCTTCTTTACATATCGACACCATATGATGCTCGTTTCATAGATGTAAAAGCTAACATCAATGTCTGCAATAATTCATAACGCATGTTTTTATTAAATATTAATCATTTTAAAATAAAGAATGAATAATTAATAGGTATTTTTATAGATATTAATATAAACGTATATAAAATCATATATTTAAAACCATATTTAATTTTCAAGTGTGATAAATGTTTTAAGTATTATAACAAATTTTCGCAAATATATTTATATGTCAATATAAATAGTTAAATATTTGATAGTTAGTGCAAATAATATTTAATTTCTGATAAACTGATTGAACTGATATTTATACATTCAAATAATTACCCAATGCAATTTCTAAAAATTTCCCAAAATGGTATACTGAGATAATATGTATATAATATTTATATATTCTAAATCATTATTTTGAAATATGCTAAAACATATTTGTACACATATCTCGAAACAGCAATTGAACAAATAAGAAAGAAATTATAATAAATAAAAAAAGTAAATAGTAAATTAATGTAAAAACTTAAAGAAGCAGTGTTCTATTGTCGTCACCGGAAAGGTATTGTAACAGCAAACCAGGGCTGTAGCGGATACTGTTAGTACCATGAGCATTTATTTGAGATTCACAAAATCACTTTATACCTTTCATCGTAAACCATGTTCAACATTAATAACGTTAAAAAATTTAACAAAAGTTCCTTATTATATCGTATCACATAAAAAAATAATTTATAAACAATTTAAAGTTTCGTGAGAAAGTTCGACATACAAGTATATGTTCTATGTCTATATTATAAGTATCAATTTTCATATACAAATCTAACTCATATTCAATAAATACCAACATTACACACAATATATTGAATAGGGTACTAAAAATGTATTAAATTTTAGTATGATGCCTACAATACCAAGAAACAAGCATTTACAAAGTATAGCTTCTTAATTACTGTAAAAATTTGACCTGCATTCCAGTATTCTTATTACTTGTTAAAATACATATGGAAGCATTACTTTGATTTAAAATAAATATCTTTATGTATCTTTTGATTTATTATGCAACCTATTTTTCAACATGTTTTCTTCTATTATTACTTCATATTGCAATTCCTGAAGTAATAGATTTATAATTTATCACATTTAAAAATTGTATGGCCTCTCTAAAAATTGTATATTTTGATTTAAAAAATTCGTGTAAAAAAGAGTAATAAAAATGTAATATGCTAATACATCTACATTTGCGAATGTAGATAATTATATCAATGCCCGGACTATAAAAAATGTAATTTGTTACAATAATATTAAATGTTTCATTTACAAAGTAATTGTGTTGCTTGGATTGTAGCATAGCTGTATTCCTGTGAATTAAACAGCAGACGCATTGAACTCACCTAACCAACTTCGATTGAACATTCCACGAAAAAAAATCAAATTTTAATTCATATTATTGTTTAATATTTTACATTTTCGCAGAGTCAAAGTTATAATATTGAAAATATAGTAATATCTATTACAAATGTGCTAATGTATCCCTGAATACAGTAACCTAACATTCTCTGGTTTGAGTATCCCTATTTTTTTTCAATTCCATACTCGCATACATGTATGCATCCCAGGACTATCTATACATATATATGACTCTCGGCACGCCTGTTGTTGCTGCGTAACCGTAATCTCAAACCCAGCGCTCTATCCTCCTAAAAACTTCAATTTCACCATTTATTAAGATCAACAATTTTTTTAAGAGGTTATAAAAATTATGTTAACCATTATTTTCTATAATTTATGACTTTCTTAATGATATGACAAGAAATATGAACAGTACATAAAAAAATGAAATACTATTTTACAAATGATCGATATGATGGAGGTGCTGGGTTCGAGGCTACAGTCGAGAAGCCGTATGCGCATGTCACTTCACTTGGACGATCTCTTTCTGTCGTGGCATCTGGAGGTGAGTGGTTGTTCGTGGTTTACGCACAGCAGTATAATCCGTCGATTTTCTTACGGAAAAGGTAACATCGGACGTCAGGTACGAAATAAAACAACGAATGAAATACGGGCGAAATGTGTTGTGACAATAGTTTTGCTAAAATGTTTTTTTCGGTGAATTATAATATTGAAAAATGGGCGCGTGGTTAATCGTTATATTCGCCGGCTGTTCGAATACGGACCACATGCTAATCTTCATTCAAATAGTTCATCATATCTTTCAAAAAACACGTTAAATCTTACAATTAATTGTTGAATATATAAAACAATTTACGTAATAAAACAAATAACTAACTAAATGTGAGTTCTAAACTTAAAAAGTTAGAAAACCGCAAATAACCGGATGCAGTATGGCGGTCGCTTGTCAGAGCTGGAGTTTCGGTCACGAGTTCAGGCATCACTGGAATTATTTATGGTGTACAATCTTTAGAGTCCACGAATTCTTATTTTAATGAAAGTAATTTTGATGATATAACTGAAAAGGAGCAGTAATTGCCGTTTGAACCTTAGTAATTAAGATATCCAGATATACAGTATGTATACTGGAAATCGTGTGCAATGACGACATTGTAGGACGACTCCTCGCCAACAATGGAGCTTGCTTGCTGATTTCCAGTGTTGTGGATCTTCAAAATAGTTTTTTCGTATTGTTAAAATATTTATCGCTGTGTTAAAGTGATAACAAGTGAAAATTTTATTACGGAAAAAGATACGTGCGAAGTTTGGTAATTGAACTTGTTTCAATATATCATAGTAATTGCATAATGTGCAATTTTTTATCTGCTTTATATATGTAACTTCCTGATTTGTAAATATTTCTCTTCTGAATAGTTTTATTTAGTTAATATCAATTTCGGTTTAAATGGAATTGAATTTTATAGAAATTATTTTTTTATTGAAATAGAAATTGCAAAATGTATTCGTATATTATTAATATATATCACTTTTAATGTGGATTGTTAAGTAATTGTCAATTAGTTCCAGTGTATGTAAAATAGTGCAACTCCTTTTATTGAAAATTATTAAAAATAATTTGTAACGTGGCATTGTGCAACGCGAAGCGTCAAGTAATTATGGCAACGTTGCAACGTTCTCGCCATGTACAAAATGGCTGCCAGTTCCATTCTCGAATATTCAGATACCGCCACGTGGACGTTAAATAAAAGACACCTGCTGCTTTCTTGATAAGGAAAAACAATTGTCAAATTTTTATACTATTAACAAAAATTATCACTCCTGAATGAATAAAATTTGATACTATTTAGAACAATTAATTGAACTTGATCTGAATTCAAATGTAAAATAATTCTAGTATGTAAAAGTTACGAAATAAAATTGATTTTGATTTTCCATTTTGTTTATTAATTTATAATATTTTAGCATATGTTATTTTATTCCAGATTTAACCAATAAAGTCTTATTAAAACTTTATCATGGGTAAAGAGAAGATTCATATTAACATTGTCGTTATTGGACACGTCGATTCTGGCAAGTCCACCACCACTGGTCATTTGATCTACAAATGTGGTGGTATTGACAAACGTACTATTGAAAAGTTCGAGAAGGAAGCCCAGGAAGTAAGTAATTAACATCATATTTGTAATAATATTTTCAAATCTTATATTATTTATTTCTAAATTAATTTTAAAAATTTGACAAAACTTTGTCACTGATAATTCACTTTTCCTTAGTACAGTGATAATTATAGTTCACAGTTTGCAGCTTTGTTAAATTTTTTATGTATAATTGAAGCAGCATATAAATTGCAAAATTTAAAAACAAAATCTTAATTTTTAGATGGGCAAAGGATCCTTCAAATATGCGTGGGTATTGGACAAGCTTAAAGCTGAACGTGAACGTGGTATTACCATTGACATTGCTTTATGGAAATTTGAAACTTCCAAGTACTATGTTACTATTATTGATGCTCCTGGGCATAGAGATTTCATCAAAAACATGATTACTGGTACCTCACAAGCTGACTGTGCAGTATTAATTGTTGCTGCTGGTACTGGCGAGTTTGAAGCTGGTATTTCAAAGAATGGACAAACCCGTGAGCATGCTCTGCTCGCTTTTACTCTTGGTGTAAAACAGTTGATTGTTGGTGTTAACAAGATGGACTCCACTGAACCACCATACTCTGAAGTCCGATTTGAAGAAATTAAAAAGGAAGTGTCATCTTACATTAAGAAAATTGGTTACAATCCCGCTGGAGTAGCATTTGTGCCAATTTCTGGTTGGCATGGAGATAACATGTTAGAGATTTCTTCAAAAATGCCTTGGTTCAAGGGATGGACTGTGGAACGTAAAGAAGGTAAAGTTGAAGGAAAATGCCTTATTGAAGCACTTGATGCCATTCTTCCACCATCTAGACCTACGGACAAGGCTCTCCGTCTTCCTCTTCAAGTAAGTTTTTGGTAGAATTCAATAGTTAATCTTTAATTATTTTTTATGATGATAAACTTATTCGCTCATTCGCGGTTTCCACCGGAGAATTTTATAATTCGGTGATGGTTAGAGACGTCTGATTAAAATTAATCTTTTAAAAGCTATGTCTATTTCAAATTAACATGTAATAATGATGTTAAATCTGATTTTAGGATGTATACAAAATTGGTGGTATTGGAACGGTACCTGTTGGTCGTGTTGAGACTGGTGTGTTGAAGCCAGGTATGGTTGTTACCTTTGCTCCAGCTGGTTTGACCACTGAAGTTAAATCCGTTGAAATGCACCACGAAGCTTTGCAAGAAGCTGTTCCTGGTGATAACGTTGGTTTCAACGTTAAGAACGTGTCAGTAAAAGAATTGCGTCGTGGTTATGTAACTGGTGACTCGAAGAATAATCCACCTAAAGGTGCTGCTGATTTCACTGCACAGGTATATGTTTAAAATTAAATTAAGAATAGTACGTTTTAACACAAATATGAGTGAATTATTCGTTGATTGATACGATGATGAGAACATAAAAACCTCATTCGCGGTTTCCACCGGAAGGTCCTTCAGGATTTGTTGACGGTTAAATGCGTCTGAATACTATTTATTACATATATTTTAAATGAATTTTGTGATTATTTAGTTTTGAAAAGTTATTTTGTATTTTTAGGTCATTGTATTGAATCATCCTGGTCAAATCAGCAATGGATACACACCAGTGTTGGATTGCCACACTGCACACATCGCGTGTAAATTTGCTTATATCAAAGAGAAGTGTGACCGTCGTAACGGAAAGACCACCGAAGAAAATCCAAAAGCTATAAAAGCTGGAGATGCTGCCATCGTTATACTTGTACCAAGCAAGCCTATGTGTGTTGAAGCTTTCCAAGAATTCCCGCCTCTAGGACGTTTTGCTGTTCGTGACATGCGTCAAACGGTGGCTGTCGGCGTTATTAAAGCTGTCACTTTCAAGGATAGTACGGGCAAGGTCACCAAGGCTGCCGAGAAGGCCCAGAAAAAGAAATAACTAGTTTCCGTACATGTGTATCGCCAGATGGGCTTCGGCATATAGTAGCTGAAGTAGTTTACGTTCTTTCTTCATGTTCCTCGCACGAGAGCAACGTTATGTCGTTGCCATTGGACACTGCAATATTTTTTACGAAATCGCGACCAATAATTAAGGATAATAGAATCGGTAAAGAATCGCGACGACTGGCATTTTGTGTGCATGTAATTGCATATTCGCCACATTTTTTTGATATTCGTATATTCCATTTATCCAAATGGTTACTCCGTCACTTTTCTCACCGTAAAGAATTTCGTAGGAAAGATGAAAGTAGCCAACAATGGTGTACAAACAGATGTTTTTCTCGCCTGTGAGTTCCATAAGAGAAGAAAGTGAACTATGTTAAGCTACTTATAACATCTGTTTCACAAGAACATTAACAAACATCATAATTTAGCTCGGCTTAATTATATTTTCTAATTATTATACGGAAATAAATCCTATATCTGCGATATTCGAGAAACATCTCATTATTATTTTTTTGCCGTCACTATTAATTAATCATCGCCATCCTTATCGTAAAACGCTTCATATTTCCGATGTTACTTGCAAAAAATAGAAAAAATTTTACAATTTTTTAATTTTTCATTTGTCGGGATACATCGATACAAAAGAAATTTTAAGTAGCGAGAAAAAGGAAAATTGGTAGTTCCAATACGAATTCGGTTGGGAGATGGGACCTGTTTTTTATTACTTTCCAATTACCTGACTAGGTAAGGAATTGAACTGCTAAAAATATATACACAAAACACTTTTCTATGATATATGTCTACAAAGATTTATCTTATATTTTTACACATTTTATATTAATAGGAGGTATGTGCGAAAATACGATTGCTCTGCAATGGTTCAGCACTTTTAGCCGCGATTTACCGGTCGAAATTGGTTAACAACGGTTTTCTGTATGTACATATAAATAACAATAATAATGAATAAACATAAATAAAGGAGCTACGGAAACAAATGTGTTTTATTGTTATACTATCTTTATGTTACAAAAGTATACGTTATAGGTTTATTTAAATAATATAAAAATTAGATTATAAAATTATTTTTAATTGAAATTTTAGGTATGTTTTCGAATGAGATTTTGAAAAATGGTTCTAACTTTTTCTATTTCAAAAATATAACTTTTATGGATTAAATATTTACTTACAAAATGTTGTGAAATGTAATTTATATGATTTATTTTTATAAAATAAATTTTAAAGTTCATTTTTAATGTAAGTAGTAATATATAAGTATCTTTGTCAAGAATATATCTATTGCATATTATTTTTAACAATAAAAAACATAATCGTTAAATATTAGTAAATATATTTATTTTTTAAGTATTTTGAAATGGTTTTCTGCTAATGAATTACAAATTTTTAATTTTTTCATGCCTAGTACAATTTTTCATTATTGTTATTATTATTTTATAATATTGCGTTATTAAAGTCTTCTCCAAATTTGATTGTTTATGAAAACAATAAAATGTAATTCACGTAATTTTTATGGAATTGTGTGTATGTATATTTGATATATGCTTCGTAGAGTAAAAAACATGCATGGAGAACAGCTGTTGAGCGAAACATGGCTGCTGTAAAGAGTGGTCTGTCAATATTTTCGTCTTTTCTTTCAAATAGTACAAATTGCACAGCTTGCAGTGTAAGTAAAAATAAATGTTTCAATTTTTCTGTGTAATATTATTTGCTTTTTAATATATATATTTATATAAGAAATTTACATTCATTCTTGCATAATTTGTGTTTATTATATTCTTTGCTTAGTTTCAGCAAATACGTAATAAATATGTTGGTCGGTGGATGATACGTGATGTAAAACGGCGAAAGATGGCAGAAGATTATGCTCCAGAACGATTACGTTTACTAGCTATGAAGAGAAATGATATTTTACCAGCAGAATTAAGGGTACATTCTATGTATTTTATATAACCTAACATTATAATATAACCGTCTGAAAAAATGTTGTATACTGAGTGATCTATGTGACTGTGATACTAGCTAATAGCAATAGCTTTTTTGTGGCTTGATTGTTTATCAAGTCTTTTTTCGTCTTTTAGGAAATAGTTGATAAGGAATTTGATGAGAAAATTCCACGTCAAACTGCTTTAAGGCAATTAACACCACGTTGTGCACTGACTTCTCGTGGACATGGATGTATTTATAGATGGAGATTATCAAGAATTATGTTCCGACACTTAGCTGACTATAATAAACTAGCTGGAGTCCAACGTGCAATTTGGTAGATATTATACACAAAAATGTTTTTTTAATGTTTTTGCAAAGTAATATCTAATTGAGAATGTAATAGAATATGAAGATATTATATAAATGTATTATAATAAATGTATTAAACAATGTATAAAACCGGTTTATTAAGTTTTATACCATTATAAGATATATTTATACTATTATAGATATATTTTGCTCTTACTTTGCTAAAAATAGAATTTTAATAATGTAACAAATAGTGTAAAGAAACATTGTCATAAATGGAAAGAGCTTTGTATATTAGTAATAAATCAAATATTACTAATATAAAGTAATAAATCAAATATTTTATAACTAAAGTAGATGATAATGCAATTTTTACACATGTAGATGTCATATTATTTGACTCGATTTCATTTTGATTCTGTATTAAATATTTTAGCATTAATATGTAACAATATTTATTTTACAAATAAGCTAATATTACATGTAATGAGAATTTACGTTATTATATTTAAAAAGAAAATGTATACATACATTAATGGATACATTAATCATTAATATTAGAAAAAATTTAATAGTGAAAATAATAAGTATATTGTACTACTGTAACATTATTATTACATTGTATAGTTCATATTTTTCATCGAATAGTTTGTTATAGCTAAGTACATAAGTGTAGTATATAAGTATCTAGTAGTATAAGCGTTTATCTGATCAGGCATGCATGGCGCAGGTCCGAGTCTGTAGTTCAGTTCTCCTGAATCAAGAAACATTTACGAGGTAGTACACATTGGTATACTCGAGCAGTGAATGCTCTTTTGTTCTTGTTAAAACTCGACCTGTTGCATTCTTTATCTTTGTTTTTTACAACACAGAAGATAAAGTTACGGATATTGAATATTGTAAGTAAATTTCTCTAAAGCTAAATATAGATAGAATAGTAAGTATTTAATTATTCTAAAATACGAAAAAAATTATTTTCATATAATTTAAAATATTACACTTATATTATAATAAATAAATAAAAAATATGGATTATTAGTTAAGTAAAAAAAATTTTGTATTTTAGAACATATGATGTAAATCGTTTATTTAAATTTAAATAAATTATTTTTAAATTATGGTTATTTTTTCAGTTTTATAATTTAAGTGATTAAAGTTTATTTATAAAAAAATAAAATAATACATTTAAAAAATATTTATGGACTAATTTAATTTTTATGGTAAAGTTAATAAATTAAAAAATATGTAATTGAGAACTTATTTCATTTGAATATTTACTTTACATTAAGTAAATATCGTGAATTGTTGCGATAAAATAAAATGTTTCTTTCATAAAATATTTTCAACAGTAAATAATTTATGAAAGGTGACCGATTACTAATGAAATTTATTAAAAATTTTGAAATATATTTTAGATATTTATCAAAGTCTAAAATTATTTTAATTTATTGTTTAATTTTTATTCCCGACAAAATTATAAAATTATATACGAACTGGTATAAATTGTTAGAAATAAAATAGAAAAATTATAGTCGTGATCTGTAATCGTTTTGTAACATTTTTCTAGTAAAATTGTTTTGAAACAATGAAATTATGAGTTTAGTTGTTTTTGAACTTGCAACATTTCAACATAATATTTGTTACATTATGTTTATTACGATACATATTTAGTAAATTATTATTAAATATTGATTTAAAAAGAAAATTACATATAAATAAAATTGATTTTTTATTAATTATTTATTTTAAAATTTTTACTAATGTTATTGTAAAAATTCTAATACAAATATATAAATTTTATAACAATTGCTACATTTAAATCTTTGAAGAAATAAAGTAATATAATTTTTAGAACATAACGAGAAAAATGTTACATGATTACTTAAGAATAACTGCGAATATAAGAAGTGCGAAAATTAAAAAATTTTATTTCAAATAAAAAATTCGATTTACCGTCGAAGATTATAAAATCAAATAATAATGTATTAAGTTACATTTAAAGTTATAAAAAAAAAATTTACCTCAAAATTCCATATAAATTTTACTAATATGTTCTACAAATAAAAATAAACTTAAAGTGTATATCATACAAACAAAAAATTTATGCAAATTTTGTTGTTAAAATTTATTGTAATGTAAAAGTAGATACTAACATTTCAAAATTTGCTTGAAAAATATAATAGAGAAAATAATCGTTTAAATAATATGGAAAAATTTGCTTTAGAATCAAATATATTCAAGTAATTGGAAAAGATAGGGCATAGATCAAGGTAACATATTATCTAACAAGTAAACGTGCTTTTCTTTAGATTAAATAAATTTCATAACTTGTAGAAGGTGAATCGAAGAAAATCTGGCACAATACATGAAAACATATTGAATAGATCATATGTCTTATGAAATGTTCGAAATACCACGAAAAATATTAATTTTTTAGATATTTAAAAATATTTAAAGATATTTAAAAAAATAACGGATTTAATTTAAGAAAAAAAATTAGAAATGTACTTTTTATTCATACAGAAACATTTCATTCATCCAGTTTCTTTAATTTATTTATAAATTCATGTTAATATCTAAAGTGATTTCATAAAAAACAGTTTGTAACATAAACCTGCTTTGTGTACCTTACCTTATGTATGTATGTTCGCATTTTGAAGTCTCCATTCGGATGTAATTGGTTATATATATATATATAT